GGACCCCGCAGATCATGCCAGGGGCTGAAGGACGGGGACCCCGCAGATCATGCCAGGGGCTGAAGGACGGGGACCCCGCAGATCATGCCAGGGGCCGGGGGCCGGGGACCCCGCAGATCATGCCAGGGGCAGGGCCACCGGCCACCCCGGGGGACGGCGATCCCGGAGGGCAGAAGGAAAGATAAGATACTTTTCGAGGGAGAGCATGGAAAGGAGCTCGGATGGCCTGCCATCGTGATGAGATTTAAACAGGTGTTTACTGAACTCCGCAGAGCGAGTTGAGAACACTTTGTGAAAGATCAGATGGAGGGGCGGAGGGTGACTGAGAACTAAAGCATGGGTGAAAATGTGATTCCCGGAGGGACGATGGGAGCCTGGGGAGAGGAGAACGGAATCTGTTCAGGTACAGTCTCTAAGACAGGTACCACCGACAGGATTTGGGAGCAACAGCACAAAAGCATTCTTACAGGTGTCTTTTAGTGTCATAAAATGACAGATTTACCAAATGTGAGCCTGGAATGGGTGGGTACGAGGGCCAGATGAAAAGTCACCGAGGCAGATTGGCTTCTTGTTTCTGTATGCCTAGGACAATAGATGCGACACCAGATGAGAAAGAAAAGGATTAGGGAAGATTGTGTGAGAACAGGGTATCATAACCCAGGCAGACTTTCCTTGGTCTTTTTGATTTTAGGATATGGCCTTTGGGATCTGAATTTTGCATGTTTATGAAAGTCCCACTAAGGTAGTATTGATAGTGCTGCTGTGTTTTCCACAGGAGAAAGCTTCGAGCGGATGTGACAGCTGCTTTTCCGGCCCTGGGAACAGACCAGGTCTCTGAGTTAATTCCTGGGAAGGAGGAACTCAATATTGTAAAGTTGTATGCTCACAAAGGAGAGGCAGTGACGATGTACGTGAGTGGTGGTAATCCCATCCTCTTTGAACTGGAGAAAAATCTGTATCCAACAGGTATGGCAGCAGGTTGGAGATGGCCATTATTACAGCTCTTGCCTAATACTTGCTTCTGTGTCTTCCATTAAGCTGTCTCTTCTAGACCAAACAAGAAAGGTACCTTCCAGGATCCCTAAAGGATATTTGCAGATCCACTGTTCCTACAGTTGAGTCTTTCAAGACCAGAAACTGCTATAGGAGTGGGGTGTGGGAGGGAGAACTAACACAAAGAGGGATGCTTTTTTTTTTTTTTTGGTCGGTTGTGGGGTTTGGACTCTGGGCTTGGGTGCTATCCCTTCGCTGTTGAGCTCAAGGTGAGCGCTCTATGGCTTGAGCCACAGCGCCACTTCTGGTTTTCTAGTGGCTTATTAGAGATGAGTCTCTTGGACTTTCCTGCCTGGGCTGGCTTTGAATCCTGATCCTCAGATCTCAGCCACCTGAGTAACTAGGATTACAACCAGTCCTAGGGCATGAACTCAGGGCCTGGGCATTGTCTTTGAGCTTCTCTTGCTCAAGGCTAGCACTCTGCAACTTAAGCCACAGTGCCACTTCTGGCTTTTTCTTTTCTTTTCTTTGTCAGTCATGGGGTTTGAACTTTGGGCCTGGGTGCCTACCCTCAGCTATTTAGCTCAAGGCTAGTGCTCTACCACTTGAACCACAGCACCACTTCTGGTTTTCTGGTGGTTTATTGGAGATAAGAGTCTCACGGACTTTCCTGCCTGGGCTGGCTTTGAACCCAGATCCTCAGATCTAAGCCTCCTGAGTAGCTAGGATTACAGGTGTGAGCCACTGGTGCCCAGCCTGGCTTTTTCTGTTTATGTGTGACTGAGGAATTGAACCCAAGGTTTTATGCATGCTAGGCAGGCACTCTACTATTAAGCTACATTCCCAGCCCAAAGAGGGACACTTATAAAGGGAAGGTTTTTTTTTGTTTTTTAATCTGGGGGTGGAGGAACAGTAGTGAGTTTACAGCATGTTAACTACAGAGAGGTCCAAGTCTTATAAAGAATGGAATTTCAGGGCATGAAAAATGTTCCTTATAACTATCTATAACAGGATATATATATATATATATATATATATGACAATATATTATATTATGTATAAATAACCATATATACATATATATATATATATATATATATGTTTATATGTGTGTGTGTGTGTATGTTTCTAGTCCTGGGGCTTGAACTCAGGGCCTGCTTTTTCCTGAAATACTATACTAGCAAAGAACTGGATTAACTAAGCTATGTAACCAACTGACTTTGTTATGTACTTTGGTCGGGATATCTCATAGAGGTTCTTAGACTCTCGTTCTTTTAGGATTCTTTGCTAGCTCTCTTTGTCACTCTTTGTGACTTTTTTTCCATAGCTGCTGACACCTACTTTGTCACTTTGGGCTTTTTTTCCAGTGAAGTTAGTTGTGGCAGTGTAACACAGCCTCCCTTGGCCACCGTTCCTTCTTCTCCAACCCCCCAGTTCTTTGTTGTGTCTGAGGACAAATACCTTTCTCTAGCTATACTGGGGTTCACAGGCACGCTACCATTTGAGCCATCCCCCCAGTACTTTAGTTTGTTTTTGTGCTTTTGCCCAGGCTGGCCTCTGACTACGATTCTCCTGTCTCTGTTTTAAGAATAGCTGGGATTATAGACGAGTGCACCAAAACTCAGCAAACACAGATCCTTTTTGACCTAAGTGCTTTACTATTGATCACTATGGGAATAATAGCAATGATGAACATGAGAAAGCTTCAAAAAAAATTTTTTTTTGGTTGTGGGGCCTGAACTCTGGGCTGGGCACTGTCCCTCAGCTCTTCAGCTCAAGGAGTACTCTACCACGTGAGCCACAGCGCCACTTCCGGCTTTTTCTGTTTATGTGGTGCTGAGGAACTGAACCCAGGGCCTCATGCATGCAAGGCAAGCACTCTACCACTGAGCCACCTCCCAGCCCCAAGCTTCACAATTTTTTACCAGCTGGCTTCCTGAGGTGGAAACCCTGTTGATTTTTGACCCCTACATTTAATCCCCTGTGGCCCTTTTTTCTGCTACCGGGATCCAGATGGAACAGTAAGCGCCCCCAAGTCCCAAGTGACCCCAGATCCTTGGTCTCTGCTTTCCTCCCTCACAACCTTCTCTCTAGCTTTGAGTTGAGTGTATACGGTCACCAAAGTGACCGTAGTGTTAGGCTTTGCCAGTTCCCTCATGGACTGACGTTGGTTGTGTTTCCTGGGTCTCATTTTGTACAGTGTACACACTGTGGTCCCATCCTGATCTTCTGCCCACCTTTACAACATGGCCGCTAGTCTTCGAAAAACTGGTGGGAGGAGCAGGTAAGATGATTTTCTTATATTCTGCTTATTGCCTCAAGTTACTTAGTAAGCACTGACTGGGTGGATAAGTGTGTCCATTTTCTGTGTTCACATATGGTTGAAAAAATGGAATTTGTCCCTGTGCATATTATACCTCTCCCTTGACTAGCGTCCTGAGCTCCCTGGGCCACTCTGACTCTGTTGTAAACCTTATATAAGTGATGTGAAAGTACTGCCAAATAATATATATATATATATTTTTATTTCTTGTCATAGGGCTTGAAGTCAGGGAGGGCCTGGGCATTGTTCCTGAGCTCTTTTGCTCAAGGCTAGCACTCTGATACTTGATCCACTGTGCCCCGTCTGGTTTTTGAGTAATTGGAGATGAGTCTCACAGGGACTTTTCTGCCTGGGCTGGCTTTAAAATGCGATCCTCAGATCTCCACCTTCTGAGTAGCTAGGATTACAGGTGTGAGCCACTGGCGCTTGGCTCAAATGCTGTACTTTTAAGTCAGTAAGTTGAATTTAGGGAACTAGGCTAGATCATGGTATGAGACACTCAGACTGCTGCTTCTGTTTGACCATGAGCTCCCAAATGGGGAGGACTGATACTCGAATTGCCATTTTAACTTTTCACTGTGAAAACATACTTGACACCTAAGACACATTTTTTTTGTTATTGTTGTTCAGTGAATGACTAAATGAAGTAAAACAAGGAATTATATGGAAGCCAATTGTAAGCTGTGATACTTTTGTTTGCTGCAGATTTGATGCTGCCAGGACTAGTGGTGCCCCCTGCTGGTCTGCCTCAGGTACAGAAGGGCGACCTCTGTGCCATAACCTTGGTGGGGAACAGGTACTGTGTGCCAGGCAGCTGTGCCTTTGGGCATGGGGCCTAGACAAAAGGGAGGTGGCGGAAATGACATATGGACAAAGGATTGGAAGAAAAACACAGGTTCTTCTGGGAGAAGCAGGTAGTCAGCCATTGGGGGATTGGCAGCTTGGGGAGTCCATCCAGCCTCCAGCTGAATGACAGAGAGCTCATAGTGTTGGTTCATCGGCGCTCAGGGTATCTTCTGCAGGTTTTTGTCTTTTTTTTTACAAGAGTCACAAAGCAAGCATAGAGTTCTGTTATGTTCCTTGCTCAGCTTTTTCTGATGTAACATCTTACATAACTACACAGCACTTACACAGCTGAGGAGTTAATACTAGCATAGTGCTGTTAACAGAACTAGAATTTATTTGCACCTTCACAGTTTTCCCACTAGGGTTTTTTTTTTCCTTTTCTTCCCGTTCAAGGGCTGCTCTCTGGTTCCACCTTGTGTTCGATCACTGGTGCTCAGCTTCCTTGTCTATGATGTTCCCTCAGCCTTTCTTTGTCTTTCTTTACCTTCAGGCTTTGCCTATCAGTTACATAATCAAGCAGTGTCATCTTTTTATTTCAAAGCTTTATTGAGATATGCTTACATACCAAAAATTTTTTTCCTTTTTTTTTTTGTCATGAGGACTGAACTCAGAGCCTAGGCATTATCCCTAAGCTCTTTTGCTCAAGGCTAGCAAGTCTTGCACTTTGAGCCACAGCACTTCTAGTTTTCTGGTGGTTAAAGAGTTTCATGGACTTTCCTTCTCAGACTGGCTTTGAACCGAGATCCCCAGCCTCCTGAGTATCTAGGATTACAGGCATGAGCCACCAGCACCTGGCAGTTTCCTTGATTTATATGTACAAATGGAATGCCTATACACTTTTCTTTTTCTTTTTCTTTCTGGGCTGGGAGTAGAACCTAGGGCCTCATGCTTGCTAGGAAAACACATTATCACTGAGCTACACTTCCAGCCCCTACTCTTCTTCTTTATTTTAAAAATCAGTTTTATGGTTTTCAATTCTGAAAAAATCAGAAAACCTCTCACTCAACAATCCTGCGCTTCATGATCATTTTGACGTGTTGGTGTGTGTTCTTCAATCTGTGGATACATGTGGATAAAAGTATAGGATTTTTATTGGAGATAAGAGTGTAATGGACTTTCATGTGAGGGCTGGCTTTGAATTGAAATTCTCAGATCTCAGCCTCCTGAGAAGCTAGGATTACAGGCCAGATACACTGACGCATTTTGGGCATTGTGTCTGCACTCACCAGCACTGGCTATATGGGCTAATTTCATTTGTTTCATCCCCTGGTGATACAGGGATCAGATGGTGGCAGTGTAGACACAGATGGAAGGAACAGAGTAGACGGGTTCTTGTCGCTGATAATCTGTAATGGTTAAGAGGGAAGCCCTTCAAAGATGGTACCCAACTTTCAGGGCTTGATAGTCAGATGGGTTGGGGGAAGGCCTTGTTTTAATCAGGAGGAGGAGCCATAGGGAAGAGATGTGATGTGGGGATGGAAGGAAAGAGAGGTTTCTGTTCTAGAAATCATTCCTCCTATTTATTGTTTCTTTGAGAGAGAAAGAGAGGGTATCAGTAGTTAACGATCTTCTTTTTGTTAGTGATTTTCATTGAACCTTTGGGAACCAAGCAGCCAGACACCTTCCTTATTTACGCATAGTAAAAACCACAATCGATAAGAATGGTGTGTCAATAGTTTTCTTCCCAATATTCTGTCCAGCTACATAAATGATTATTTGACTGCTCAATTTTGCCTTTGGAGCCTAAATGGGGGTGGGGTTTGGAAGTGGCTCATGACGGGCTAAAGGCCCAAGGGATTGCTAAAGACCAAGACTGGATTTCTTGACCCACTTGCTTTTGTAAGTGAGAGAACAAGGCTTCTCTTTTAACAACAGGGCCAGATTCAGTTTCTGTGGTAGGAACTGATCTGTAGGCACAGGGAAGTAGAGGCACTACACTGAGTAAAATTAATTTTAGTTCAGGTGCTGGGGACTTTGCTCTTCATTTTTTTCCCCTTGGGCCCAGGCTATCTTGCCAGCTTGTGAATTGGCTCATTGCATGGACAGTGCTGATCAGTGGGTTGGGGAGTCTTAGCCGTTACCAGGAACGTGCTTGCTTTGGCTGTATGGCAGCACCCCATTCTCAGATCCACAGTCATACAGAGAGCACTACACAAGTGCTCTCTGTGGGGTGTAAAGCACCCCAGGGAGCCTCTCTCCTTGGCTCCAGAACTTGCTGGTTCCCTCTTTCCTGTGCTCCCTCAGTCTGGAGGACATCCTCTGAACTTCCTTATAGAATGACTATGGCTTCTTGAAAGAAAAGGCATTTTAAGTAGCCTCCCAAGTCATAACAGTATAACTTATAACAGAGTTAAAGGCTGTATGTCAGAAGAGGAATTAATTACACAGAGGAACAGTACTTGGTCAAGGGATACTTGAAAGCACTGAAGGAAATTGAGTTCAGTTTTGCGATAAGAATGATGTCAGACTGAGGACTGTGGTGCTTTTCTGGGGAGGAAGAAGGGTCTAAGCACATGCCCACCTGTGCAGATGTTGCCTGACCCTTGTCTCTGGCCTCCTTCCTAGAGCCCCCGTGGCAATTGGAGTGGCTGCCATGTCCACGGCTGAGATGCTGATGTCAGGCTTGAAGGGGAGGGGCTTCTCTGTGCTCCACACTTTCCAGGACCACTTGTGGTGGGTACTGCACATTTTCTTTCAGGGAACGGGGAGGGCCAATCTATGAGAACGCGGGTCCTGAAATGCCCAAGTATGGGTATTGGTCCCAGTGCGTCTTCAGGCAGGTTGTTGGCCCTAGACTTTGTTTTCTTTGCCAAATGTGGGGAATTATTTCTTCACATAAGAAATCAGAAAGAATTTTGGTTGTTTGCTAGTTTTAGAATCATAGTTTTAGAATCATAGACCTGGAAGAAGACTTTTGTGATTCTGTTCTTCAGTATTGTGTGTGTGTGTGTGTGTTTGTGTGTGTGTGTTCAGTATTGTGTGTGTGTGTGTGCGTGTGTGTGTGTGTGTGTGTGTATGCATGTATGCTGGTACTAGGAGTTGAATTCAGGGCCTCAAACTCTCACTCGGCTTTCTTGTTTATGGCTGGTGTTCAATTACTCGAGCCACATCTCCAGTCCAGCCTTTTGCTGGTTAATTGGGATGGAGCCTCACAGACTTTTCTGCCTGGGCTGTCTTGGAACCTTGGTCCTCCACGTCTCAGTGTCTCGATTAGCTAGGATTACAGGCCACCTCTTCCTGATCAGGGTGGGAGAGTGCTGTAGCTGCTGCTGAGTGTTTCTGATGTGAGATTCTTCCAGGCGGTCTGGAGACAAGTCCTCCCCACCTTCCATTGTTCCATTGGTACCGGATCCTGCAGATCTCAAGGAAGAGAAGGTGGACCCCACCCTGCAGGGAGAGCTGAGGGCCCTGGCCCTGGAAGGAGAGAAGGAGAAGGAAGAGGAGGATGGGGAGGTTCAGCAGGCAGGTGAGGAGAAGTCCCCACCAGAAGTCTCCGAAGATTCCAGCAGCACTGGGCCCCTGAGCCAAGACTACACAGACAGCAAATCCCTTCAAGGTATGGCTCTGGGAGTAGAAGGCCCACCCTCCTCTCTGACTGGAGTGGAACTGAAGCTCTGGGAGAGGTGAGGAACTGGGAAAGGAGAGCCCTTATTTTTGGTGAGGGAGGTGCAGAGCCTGTGATATCATAACTCAGAGTCCCTTCCACATAAGTCACAGCTCCCTTGGGGCCCCTCTGCCCTGGTCCTGGAATTTTTCTAGCCCCAGGGTCCCCTACTGTTTCTTCTGGCTCTGACTTGCCTGGGTAATGCCCCCGGCCTGGTGGGGCTTCGTGGCTTGACGCCCAGCCCTCTTTATGGGCTCAGTGCTCAAAAGTCTGGTAGTTTTGGTACCTGGGATGGGGTTCCATTCAGAGCCAAGGGGTGAAGTGGGGATGAGTTGCATGGGAGGCGGAGGGTGGGGAGCTTCTTGCACACGCAAAGCATCCTGCATCCTTCAGGAAAGGTGTGGTTCTCGTCTCTTCCTTGTAGAGCAAATGGATGAACTGTTAGAGCAGTGCTTCTTGCAGGCTCTGAAGTGCCGGGTCAGGAAGGCTGACCTCCCTTTACTTAGCAGCACGCTCCTGGGCAGCCACATGTTCTCCTGCTGGTATGGAGGCTGGGGTGGGGGAGGGAGGTGCTGGGGACAGGGTTTTACTCTTGTTCTTGCAGTAGCGCAGGACAAGGCTAATAAGGGACTGGTTGAGCGTCACACAGAGTAGAAGATTGACAAGGCAAGTAAATTAAGATTCTAGTTTAAAGACTTCAATTTTAGCCACTGAAAGGATGTAGAGGAAATAGGTTTAAAATTCCCAGGATTCTCTGAGCACTGCCTCTGGTGTAGTGGTTCTGGGCTATTTGTTAGCCAGCCAGCATGGCCTGCATAGGCATGTCTCCAGACCACCAGAGACATTGGTACCAGATCCTGAAGATCTGAAGCCAAGAGGCTTCTTCTGGAATGTTCCACCCTCTCTTGCTTCTGACCAGGTTAGGTCAGGTGAAAGAGCAGGTGGGAGGCCCTACCCCACCCAAAACAGCATGAGGAAAGGTAGGCCTATCATGTGATGGAATTTTGGCTTTGAAGAGATAACCATCTGGGCTCAACAGCCAGCTCTCCTGAGCTGTTGACCAAAGCACGAAAGCTAGTTACCGGCTTTCTCTGAGCCCCAGGCCCATACCCTTAGGATTGCTGTGGTGGTTACAGAGACAGACCTATCATAAATGCTTGTGAAATTCTGCCCGGCCAGGAGGCTTGCTGGCTGATATTTACCCCAAGGTTGAACTTCTTTCTTTCTGAGAATCTTGCTGTTGTTTGAGCAAGCACTTAAAGATCTCCCCTTATACATGGTTTCATTACGGTGTCCTGTTCAAGTATGGCATCTGGGGTCCCTGTTCATTTTTACTGAACTTGTTGGGTTGCAAGAGATGTAGAAAGGGCCCTAGAGTGAATGTCCTCTGGGACAGAGGTTGGACTGGAATGGGTTCTAGAAGGGCTCTGGAGGGAAAGAAAATAGCTTCCCCTGAATATCTTCCCCCAAATAGAGGGCAGCAATATTTTCTGTAAAGAGCCAAAGTGTCAACATTTGAGATTTCACACATCACACCGAGTCCATAGCACACCTGCCCATTGTGCTGTTGTGTGCTCGGACGGCCACAGACAGCAGCAGTACAGTGGGTGTGGCTGGGTTGTTCATCTTGAAGTGACCCTTTGAGGCCCTGGATGTTTTTCTGGTTTAAGAGGAATCTAGAGCTATAGCTAATAATCACTAGCTGAATGTGGCCAATCTAATTTAACTTAGAGATAAATAAAATTTTAAAATCAAGTACTTGCTCACAGTAGGCACAGGTCAAGTGGCCACAGAGATGGTCGGTGGCTAGCAATCGCACTGCACAACACAGACAGATCTGCCGTCACCAGAAGTGCATTGACTTGGTGACCTAAGGACCTGTCCTATGTGTCCCTAGGCAGAGAATCCTGGAAGCTAGGAGCAGGCTGAGGAAAGGACCTCTTCCTTTTCCCCCCTCCCCTCACCACTGCCTTGTTGGTTTGACTTACTTTTTCCATCTGCCCTCAGCCCTGAAGGACGACAACTGGACATAAAGAAGTCAAGCTACAAAAAGGTAAGCCCAGGTAATAGCCACATGGCTACACAGAATGGCGTAGGGGCTCAGGTGACATGAGCCAGAATGATACCTGGATGTCTGACTACAGGGCTCAGACTAGAATTAGGGTTGTGGATGCCTGTGGTTCATGTCTGTAATCCCAGCTACTCACTAGGCTGCCATCTGAGGATCATGGTTTTAAGCCAGTGTAAGAGACTCTTCTCTCCAAGAAACCAGCAAAAAGCCAGGAGTAGACTTGTGGCTCAAGTGGTTGAGTGCCAGCCTTCAGCCAAGAAGCACTAGCACCACAAAAAAAGATTTCGACTCTGAGAATAAAGAAACCCCAGGGCTGGGACACCCATCTCCTCTTTCCCCTGACTCCTTCTTGTCTGGTTGGAGTTCTGACAGTCTTCATGGGACAGTTGGTCTCTAACAGCTTCTTGCTTCTGTACCCATGGGGCAAGCAGGGGGCTCCCAGTTCCTCCTTTAGTCCCAGCCCTCTAGTTCCTGCATCGCTCAGTCCGGTACTTCCTGGGCTCAGGTGTGGGGAGTCAGTGAAGACCCCTACCCTGGCCTCTCTCCCCTAGCTCTCTAAGTTCCTGCAGCACATGCAGCAGGAGCAGATTGTCCAGGTGAAGGAACTGAGCAAGGGGGTCGAGAGCATCGTGGCTGTGGACTGGAAGCACCCCAGGTAAGTGAGGGGGTGTGGCCATTGAGCTCAGATGGGGGTGTGGCCATCTCCCAGTGTGGGCGTGACCACAGGCACAGAAAAGGGAGAGGCACTAGTATAAAATGTGTGTTTTGTTTTTTCTTTCCTCCTGCTGGGTTTCAGGATCTCATCTTTGGTGGTGCCTGAGCCCTCCTCGAGCTCCCTGGCTGTGCCGGAGGGTGGCACGGAACAGCCCTATCACCCTCCAGATATAAAATCCCTCTACTGTGTCCCAGCCAGCATGGCCCTGCTCTTCCAGGCGTCTGGCCACAAGTAAGTCTGGGGAGAGCAGCCCTTCTCTGCCCGCATGGTGTTTGTTCTGGCCTATGCTTCCTTTCCTGTACTGTACCCTGAGTAGTGAGTGCTCCTGGGACTGGTGGAGCCCACTCAACCCCTGTGGCCCCCTTTCTCCCCAGTTCAGTTTCTAGCCCCCTTCCCCAGGGCATTTCTCTAGATAAGCTCAGGAGACTCGGTCTCTTCCTTCCTACCCAGCTGTTCTTCGCACAGTCCCTCTTGGCTCAGACAGGGAAAAGAAAGTAGAGGTCAGAAGCCAAGGAGTAGGGAGTGAGTTGGTATTTGCAGTTCACCTCCTAGCAGTCACAGTAACCGGGGTCCCTTCTCTCCTAGGAAGGGGAGTGCTCTGGAGGGTGGTGAGGTCCGAGCCATCATCATTGACTACGCCAAGAAAAATGACCTGGTTGATGCAAACAACAAAAAGTGAGTGCAGGAGGAGGCAGGGCTGTGGTCATGCCTTCCTTCCTCTGTGGCGTAGATGCAGGGCGGGGGGGGGGACGGTGGCTACCGGAATGGAGAGGAAAGTTACAGCATCCTAGAAGCAAGCCGGGCCGGGCCCCCAAACAGTGGCTGTGACATCCAGAGAAACTGGCCAGGGTCTTTAGATTCATAAATGCAGTGGGCATTGACTGTCACCAAGTAAGTGGGCCACACGTGGCCCCCATGATCTTCAAGTGCAGAGAGCTGGCATTGGAACCTTCTGGTAATTTTTTTTTTTCTTGAGGGGGCAGGTATGATTTTCTTTTCTTTTTCTGGGAGTGTTACTGAGGTTTATGCTCAGGGCTTTGCTTTTCCAGGCAAGAGCTCTACCACTTCAGCTATGGCCCCAGCCCTTTTTACTTTGGTTGTATTTTGGCTAGGGTCTCATATTTTTCCATGTCAGACTGGACTATCATCATCCTACTTATGCTTTTTGTATCTGGGACTACAGATACATACCACCTTGCCTAGCTTTTTTGTTGAGATGGAGCTTCTTGCCCAGGCTGGCCTTAAACTTTTTTTTTTTGTCGGTCGTGGGGCCTGAACTCTGGGCCTGGGCGCTGTCCCTCAGCTCTTCAGCTCAAGGCTAGCGCTCTACCACTTGAGCCACAGCACCTACAAAATTAAGTGAGGGAAGGGGTGGGTTGGGAGGGACAGGTGAGAATGGTGAAAGGGGTAAAATCAGTCAAGGTGCACTGTACTCACAAACTGCTTTGCTGAACACTTCGGCTTTTTCTGCTTATTTGGTGCTGTGGAATCGAACCTAGGGCCTCAGGCATGCAAGGCAAGCACTCTACCACTGAGCCACCTTCCTAGCCCTGGCCTTAAACTTTAACCTTTCTATTTACTGCCTCCTCTAGGATTATAGACATGAGCCACAGTATCCAGCTGAATTATTTTCTTAATACCAGGACACAAATGAACTGTCAATAGAAAAGCATACTGTACTGTTACATTTTCTTTTTTTAACTTAAAAAGATGTCCTCATGATACCAAAAAAAAAGAGAGAGAGAGAGAGATTCATAGTCTAATCTACTACCCACCCCCTCCCATATACTTCTTTTTTGGCAGTGTTGGAGATCAGACCCAGGGCCCTATGCATACAAGGCAAGCCCTCTGCCTAGCACTTATAGCCCTAGTCCTTGGTTTGGGGGACAGCGTCTCATTTCACTATGTAGCTCAGGATGGCCTTGAACTTGTAGCCTAGACTGGCCTCCAACTCATGATCTACTCACCTCAGTGTCTTGAGTGCTGGGATTATAGGTATGAGCCATTACAACTGACTTGTCCTCATTTTTAAAAAAGCATTTACGTTTATTTATTATCCTTTAAGTGTTTACAGAAAGGAGTTGTCATTCAACAAAGCAGTTTGTGAATGCAGTGCGCCTTGGCGGATTTCACCTCTTTCAACATTCTCACTCGTCCCTCCCAATCCACTCCTTCCCTCACTTAATTTTGTAGGATATACATTGGCTTTTGGACTCCATTCTCTCCTCTTCTTCTCTCCATTCAGCTATCCATTTCCTCTTGACCCCATTTCACACAAGTACCTGTTCTTATTTTGAATCATTCCTGATTTTGTGGTACTAGGGACGGAATCCAGGGCCTCACACATGCTAGGTTCACATTCTGCCATGGAGCTGCACACTATGTATGGGGCAGTATGTGATAGTTCAATATATGAAAGCATCTGTACAATGGTCAAGTTGGGGAGTTCCCATTATGTTCCCATTTCTTGTCATCCTTCCTTGCCAGCCAAGTAAAAGTAAGCCAGGAAAGCTACAGTCTCCTGGTTACTAATGGAACTGAGCCAGGAATCCTGGTCTTTGGATCTAGCCCATCCCACATTTTCCTGCCTCTCGCTTCTCCACCAGTGGATCAGTTGCATCTGACCCTGGGTAACTGAAAAGGTGATACAGAGGTGAATCCAAAATCACCTCTTGGTTCAGAAAGGTTGAATCTTAGATTTCCTTAATGCTGCTTCTTTCACTTTATAGTCTGGTGAAATTGGATCCCATCCTTTCTGACTGCATTTTAGAGAAAAATGAACAGCACACAGTTATGATGCTTCCATGGGACAGTCTTCTAAGCAGGTAATGGGGACTGGCAGGCTCTCTCCAGTTTTTCTGCCTCCTTTCCTTAGTTGAACTTCTAGATCCTCACTCTCTTAGTCTGTGAGTTTCTTCCTGTTGGTCAGTGTATATAAACACAGACTTGAGTTATTCTGATGTGAAAGGTCTCTAGGACAATTTGAATCAGCATAACATAGGAGAAGAACTTGAGAGGAAGAAAGAAAGGAACATTAATTAAAACTAAGAACTTCAGCAGGGTGTGATGGTACATGCCTGTAATACTAGGTTGAGCTAGAGGATCATGAGTTCAAGGCTAGCAGTAAAAGCAGTAAGTTTGCCAGGCACCAGTGACTCACATCTGTAATCCTAGCTACTCAGGAGCCTAAGATCTAAGGATTACAGTTTGAAGCCAGCCCAGGCAGGAAAGTCCATGAGACTTTTCTTCAATTAATCACCCAATCCTCAGAAGTGAAGCTGTGGTTCAAGTGGTAGTGCACTGGCCTTGAGCAAAAAAGGACATTGCCCAGGCCCTGGGCTCAAGCCTTAGTACTGGTGCCTGCACATATACGTATAAGTACGCATGCGTGTGCACGCGCACACACGCACGCACACACACAGTAAGTTCATAAAGAGAAACAAAAGAAGGTTGGGGGAATTGTTTTAAAGTTTGCAAAGGAAAGGTTAATTTGTATCAGGAATCAGCCCATGGCCAAATCTGACCTGCCAATACCACCTGTTTCTGTAAAGTTTTATCGGAACACAGCCTCACCTATTTATGTATGGTTTGTAGAAGGCTTTGTGCTGTAGTGGCAGAGTGGAGTAGTTGTTGCAGATCAGATGGTCTGATAAGCCTAAAATAATTATTGTCTGACCTTTTTTAGAAAATTTTATCAGCTCTAATATATATGACACCAGGAGAAGATTTTGTTAGGTGAAAGGTAGCAATTCCAGAGGTATGTGTAAAAGGTGCATTATGGAAACATGGCAGAAAAGGTAAAGCAGTTTTGGAGCCAATCGGCTAGGTGAGGGAAGGGCTTGGTCACTGGTGTTTTCCTTCCCTGAGTCAGTAGGTCTGAGCTGTGGCTGCTTCCTGGGGCATTTTAATGAACACATAGGCCTGGTCTGGTGCTGGTTTGATTGTCTGGATGCAGCCCCTAAATGATCTGAACGGTTGTAATGTGTAGCCAGGTCGCAAACCATTGCTGCTAGGCAGTGTACCCAGTTCAGGCCAGGAGACGGTTCAGCACGTACTGGGAGCAGGCATGGGAAAACGGTTGTGTTGCTTCTGGTATTTCCTTACCCAGGACTGTTATTATTCCAGATGTTTGGAAAAACTGCAGCCTGCCTATCAAGTGACCTTTCCTGGGCAAGAGCCTGTGGTGAAGAAAGGGAAAATCTGTCCCATTGACATCACTCTGGCTCAGAGAGCTTATAATAAAAAGGTAACTTTAAAAATATAAAATGTTTGCTCTTTTCCCCAGCTATCTCTTTCCCAGCTCTCTCTTCTCTTTCCAGCTTTCTCTTCTCTCTCCCACCTCTCTTTCCCAGCTCTCTTTTCTAGCTCTCTTTCCCACCTCTCTCTTTTCCACCTCTCTCTTTCCCACCTCTCTTTCCCAGCTTTCTCTATTTCCCAGCTGTCTTTCCCAGCTCTTTCCCAGGCCTTTCCCAGCCGCGTGGAGGGCCAACCTGGTCTGGTCCCAGCAGAACTACTGAATAAACCTACCCCTTCCCGAAAAAAAAAAAAAAAAAAAAATATATATATATATATATATATATATATATAATGTTTGAGAATGGCGAGTGATTTAATGTCACTTGACATTCTAGTCTTCTTAATGTGATTGGAGGGTTTTAGATTTGCTTTCAACATTTCAAGGATTGTTGTTGAAACACTCATGCTTGTGATGCCTGGAGTGAGCTTGGATGGAGCAGGTAGACCTGATTGCTTCCCCACCACCCACTCCCGGCCTCCTTGGATTTTGTGCTTGGAAATTTGTTAAGGTCTGTTTCTAAAAGTAAACAAGATTTTATTTTTGTTTGTTTTCCCTTAGTGTACTATATTATAGGTGCTCAGCTCTTAAGAGTCTTTTACCTTTTGGGTCTTGCTCAGTGCAAATAGCTGAAAGAACCAAGTATGTTTAGTTTGGCAACACAAAATTGTAGGTAACAAATTACACCTGTCCTTAAGTATGTGGAAAACTGTTTCCTGAAAAAGAGTACCCTTCTGCAAGCCTGGAGAAGACAGACTGCCATCATGGGTAGAAATTGCAAGAAGTCACATGTGGGTTCGCAATTGAGAACTTCCGTATGGTCTCAGGGTGTAAGCATGGGCTTTGGAATCAGACCTGGAGTCAAAACAGGTGTTTTTTGTTTTGTTTTGTTTTGCTTTACTTCTTGACCTTGAGCAAGTTACTCAGACACTACAAGGGCCAAGTGAAGGAAGATTCATGGGTGAATTGCCTAGAATAGTACTTGGAAAATAAGCAGTCATGATAAATGAGAATTGGCCGTGACAACCTTGATTAACAATCATTATGGGCTAGATGTTATATTAAACAATGTTATGTGTATTAGTTTAAACCCAAGTTTTCTGTTAGTGATAATCAGAACAGACCAAAGTTGAAGTTGGTGTGTCGTAAAATAGTGAGTTATTTCCCGAAGGTGGACAAGCAAAGATCAGGTGAGCACATGGGGGGAGATGCAGTCAGGGGCTCATACAAGAAAGCGTGGCTTCCTGATGGGCTGTCAGTCATTCCAAGATCCTCTATCTGGAGTGTCCTGCAAGTCTAAGGTTTTGGGAACTTCCAGAGACTTTCTTGATAGCATCCCTCTCCCACCCACCCTGACTATAAAAAACACTTTGAAAAAAATTTTAAACCATGTTTAGTCATACATGAGAAAAAGTTTGTTTCAGAGCAACAAGAGAATTGTATCTTTTGAAGATACACACTAAAGTACTGGCAGATGCAATTCCTAGAGTCAGCCTTCTGGTGGAGGAGGGGGCGTGGTCTGCACCCAGCATCACTACTGTCGCCCCCTCCCCACAGGTGACTGTGGTCCGGAATTTGGAGGCGTATGGTCTGGATCCATGCTCAGTGGCTGCCATCCTCCAGCAGCGATGCCAGGCCAGCACCACGGTCACTCCTGCCCCCGGGGCCAAGGACAGCCTGCAGGTGCAGATCCAGGGGAACCAGGTGCACCACCTGGGCCGGCTGTTGCTGGGTGAGCATCCCTCAACATTGGGCTAGCTTGGTAAAGATCTTCCCATCCACCCCTCAGGGTCTAGGCATCATAATTCCTGTATACGGACAGATATGTTGGTCTTCGGTGGGTCCACTTCACAATGACACGAAAGTGATAACACATTCAGAAGTGAATTCAACTTCAGTCTGAGTTTTGAACTTTTCCTGGGCCGTGTGCCCAGCAGCTCCAGATGTTCAGTGGCAGTAACGCCCAGTTCCCCAGGTAATCATGGAGTGAAGATCAGGTACTCCACAGCACGGACCTACTGAGCTGGTCAGCTGTATTATGTGCATCTTCAACCTGCACAGCTTCTACTTTACCATGCATTATGGGCCATAACTCTGTCATAAGTCCAGGAACATTGCAAATGCACATACCGATGTCCATTTTGTTTACAGCAGCTGGCAGGAGGTGGAACCAATGTCTGAATCACGTTTGGCTCTTCCACAGACAGTGCTGTCTCCATTGTACATACCGTTTTCTTTCTGGTCCTCCTTTTCTAGAAAACATTCACGAAGCATCCTAACATCCTGTCAGGCATACCAGGGGATTCTGGCAGCTTCTCTCTAATGAAAGCAATGCTGGACTGTTGCCTGTTTAGCAAATGAAGAGCGAGAGGTCCAGAGAGGTTCAGTACCTTGTCTGGAGCTCCCCAGCTTTTAAGTGCCACAAGTGGGCTCAGGACCCGCCTTCCTCTCCACTCTCGGCTCTTCCTACTCAGTGTGGGTCACCAGCATCCAGACTGTCCTCAGCTCAAACCCTCCCCTCACTCTGCCTGAGTCAGCTTTCTAAAACAAGTAGGATGTGATCACTCCTCTGTAAAAGCTTTCTGTGTCTCTTCAGTGCCTTCAGAATAAGTATCAGTGCTCAGTAAATAAGCCTCTCCCAGCTTCACTCTCGTTCTGCTCTGCAGCCCCCACATCCTTTCCCAGCCCCAGCCCAGATGGTTTCTTCCTGGTGCATCCCACTTAACCTTTCACCCGGCTGGCGCCTCCCATACCCAAGTCTGTCCTTTAAGGCTCACTCAGCTCAGGGGTCAGGCTCCATTTCTACGTGAGCATCTTGAAGACTGCTAATGTCACACTTCCAATCGTGTTTACGTTTCTGTTAGTGTCTGCAGCATGGCTGATTCTTCTCTAATGTCCGAACCGCTTGCTAGGCTGAGCTCCTCAGGCAGAGACTCACCTGTTCCCCACTGTCTCCTCCTCAGGCTCTGCACATAGGAAATGCTTCATCAGTAGATCAGTTTTATGGCTGGTGGCCGGTCCCCAGTTTACATCAGAGTTGAGCCCCTTTATATGGGAACCCTCTGTGGGGTGTTGAGAAGGAACGGGAAGGTGGAGGAGCACAGAAGGGAGCACGGACCCATGCCTTCTCCTGGCTGCTGCCCTCTAGAACCTGGAATGCAGCTAGCAGTGTGGAAATCATCCAGGCACATTCTTCTGCCTTGAGACAGCCCATGGTCCATCCCGGACGGCATCCCCAGGGAATGAGCTGGAGCTGGGTGCAGAAGAGCAGATCACGTGTTGGGAGTTGGCACAGAGCCTTGGATAGTGGGAATGAGCTCACTCCGGCCAGTAGGAAAGGGCGGTGGGCAGGGCCCAAGGAGGGACATCCTGAGACAGGGCAAGTGGGGGAGGGGCAGTAGGAGAGCCAGACCAGGCTCCACTGAGTACTTTCTGCTTTTTGGATTTTAGAAGAGTATCGGCTCCCTCGAAAACACATCCAAGGCCTAGAAAAAGCTCCCAAACCTGGCAAGAAGAAGTGAGAGGCCCTTGTTTCCTGTGATGGGCCCAGCTGGTAATTTATATGGGCATTGTCAGCTTTTACAAATAAAAACTTTAATTCTTTACTCAAAGGGTTTATTCTAATTTGTACATGGTTCTTTTGTTTTCTCTACTTAGTGAAAAAAGTACTAACTTCTGATGTCAGAAACATTTGAAATGGGCAGAAGAAGCCAACGCACAGTTCCATTTCCTTGGTGTGGCTTCGGGGACTCGCCCCTCCCTACTGTGAAGGCAGGCTGACCCATTCAGAGTTCAGGCAGGTGGGGTCTTCCTGGTGTTTAGATCTATCTCATACTTCACAGCCTCCAGCTCATCTGTTCCCACCAGCAGATTAACTTCCTGGCTTCAAAATAATCCCTTTTCATCTCTAAAGAATTAGTCTTATAGAAAACAGAACCAAGTTGTTCTCTGTCAATTAAGATAACAGAAGTGTTACAGAAGTGCTAGTGGCTCACACCTATAATCTTAAGCTACTCAGGATGCTAAGATCTGAGGATCACGGTTTGAGGCCAGCCCCGGCAGGAAAGCCTGTGAGGCTCCTGTCTCCAATTAACCACCAGAAAACTGGAAGTGGTCCTGTGGCTCAAAGTGGTAGAGCACTAGCCTTGAGCAAAAGAGCTCAGGGACAGCATTTAGGCCCCAAGTTCAAGCCTCATGGCCGACAAAAAACAAAGGTAATAGAAGAAAGAATTGTCTCTAAATTGAAGGGTTAAAGTTTTGAGGCAGTGACCACTTGTTGCTTATTTCTAGCAGAGCAACATGTGGTGGTAATCCAAACACCTGGTTGGTTGTGTGCCTTTATAACCCCTGCAAATCTTTAGCTCGGGGCTCTCCTCCTAGGCTCTGCTGTGTCGGAGTGTAGTACAAGGCCCGAGCTGCAGCCCATCTAAATAAAACCTTAAAACAGCTGTAAAGTCTGACTCTCGGTGGTCTTCTTGGTGGGGCTCCTGTGACCTAGGCACAACATAAATTACTGTAGAATTTCTGCTAGTTAGACAGAACACACAGCACTTAGAACATGAGTTTTTGCATGATCCAGATTTCTCCCCAGTTTATCACAGTTTCTATGATAGCTTTGCTCCAGTGAAGTCTTAGCCCCACCTTGTAGACCTGCCTTCAGTCTTCAGAAGGTCTGTGTACTCCTTGAGGTGCTGCGTAAGAGTCTGCAGAATTGTTTTTCTAAGAAACAATCTGTGCTTTCGTCAAATTCTGATGAGATCACTTGAAGCCAGAAATGTTCAGAATAACTGATCTTGTCCCTCCATTTACTGTTTAGCTGTGTTAAATCTCATGCATTCCTAGACTTTTGCCATCAAACTGGACACTGGTGGCGCACACCTGGAATTCTAGCTTCTTAGGAGGAGGATGAGAACTAAGGATTGAGGCTTGAGGCAGACAAATCTGAGATTCTTATCTCCAATTAGCTAGCAAAAAGCTCGAAGTGGAGGTGTGGCTCAAATAATAGAGAACTGTAAGCAGAAAAGGCTAACTAAGACAGGCTGATGGGCTGGGAAAGTGGCTTAGTGACAGAGTGCTTGCCTAGTATTCATGAAGCCCCAGGTTTGATTCCTCAGCACCCCTACACAGAAAAACCCAGAAGTGGTGCTGTGGCTCAAGTGGTACAGTGCTAGCCTTGAACAAAAAAAAAGCTCAGGGACTGTGCCCACGCCCTGATTTCAAGCTCCAGGACTGGCAAAAAAAAGAAAAGAAAAGTGAGGCTGAGTTTAAGCCCCACTCCAGCACATACACTCAAAAAGTGAATTACACTTTCATAGACTTTTTATTCTTTCTCATTTCACTTGTTAAATGCTGAGGTAAGAAAGGCTTGGAAAGAATCAGTGTCCACAGATGACACATGTGAGGCCTGGAAAGGAAGAAAAGGATGGGTGTGAAAATGTGTTTGGTGTCTCCTAACTTTTGCTACCAGGTCCAGAACTGGCCTTTTGACTAATCCTCACTAACCCATCTACTGTCATGAACATGTGGAACCTGTAAATATAGAAATTGGCCCTAAATGGTCCTATTATAACGAAGCTTCTAGACAGCCAGTGATGTGGAGTGGGGTGTGCTCAGTAGTAATAAAATCTGGGCTTCCCATGAATTAAAAAAACAACCACCAGATAGCACGCAATGCAAAGTTACTTCACCAACACCATCTGTGTTGTGCAATTGTGGAGGGCTTAGAGGCTCTGAGAGGTTGTCTTGTTAATCCTTGCTGAAGACATAAAGCCAGTAAGTACTGGGGCTGGATCCCACTAGAGTAAAGGTGCATCTCTTATTAACTGTGGTTAAATCCAGGACTCTCTGCTCTGACAAGAGTGCTGTCAAGACCTGTGCTTCCAATGATGTTTCCTGTAATGGTGACACATTTGTACTGAATCATTTCTCCCCAGCCCTGAACAGCACGGAGATGTGTGAGAGTCAGCATAGAATCTGACTGTATGGTGGATCTGTGTTAAGCCAAGTGATCTATATCAAGGTCAAACTCACCACTATGAACATATTAACCCTATGCTGTGTTCAATGAAAAGCTGAAACTGCTTTGTTTCTGTATTTTGGCAAAGTCATCGAAAGGAATACTTCTTGGAGGTCTAAGTAGACCGTTGTTACAGGTGCGAATCGAAATTGGGTAATTTTAACCACGTGTGGTGGATAGGGAGTTCTCTTATGAGGAGCTCTGGAGAGCCTCTGGACCCAAGGGCCCTGTTCATTGCACAGTACATGATCAACCTGGAAGACAGGCACAAACTTTTTAATAACTTTTTTGTTGGTCCCAGTATTTGGGTTTTAACTCAGGGCATCACACTTTTGCTTAGCTTTTTCGTAGAGCAAGTAGAGCCATGCCCCCAACCTCCAGCGTTTTTGCTGGTTAACTGGAGATAAAAGTCTTGGCTTTATCTGCCCAGGCAGGCTTTGAGCTGCAATCCTTAGATCTCAGCCTTCTGAGTAGCTAGGATGACAGGGGTGAGCCACCAGTTCCCAACTTTAATAACTTTTATGTGGCAATTTTTTGTGATTATGGAGATAGTCCTTTGCTAGAAGCCAGGATACCTAAATGAGAGGACTATCCTTTAATTTTTCTGTCTTCCTTCATGTGAAATGATCTTAAATTTTCAAAGCTACACCCCTACCATTCATTCATTTATTGGTGGCAGTTACGAAGCTTCAAATCAGGGCCTAGGTGCTGTCCCTGAGCTTTTGTGTTTAAGGCTAGCATTCTATCAGTTAAGCCACAGCTCCACTTCCTGTTTTCTAGTGGTTAATTGGAGATAAGAGTCTCACAGACTTTCCTGCCCAGGCTGGCTTTGAACCGAGATCCTCAGATCTTAGTTTCCTGAGTAGTAGGGCTACAGGCATGAGCCACCGGTGCCTGGCTCTATCTTAATTTTTAAATCATTCCAGAAATAAAAGAACAACTGCTTACCTCAGTAGTCTGTCCTGAGATTTCACCATCCTTAGCTCCTGCTTTTTCCTAACTCACTGTTCCTACAGCATGTCCTCTCTCCCCATATCAGGACCATTTTCTCCCAAGCACTGGAACAGTAGCCTTCATTCCTTTGCCTCCTGGCAAAAGTACCTGTTCTTGTCATCTGTGTGTCATCTTTGTCCCCAATCCAGTTTCCCTAAGATGATAAAGTTCATGGAAGACATCACCACCGGGAATCATGTGTACAACAAGCTTTTATTACTTTTTTTTAAAACTCATATGAGAAAGACATTTAAAAAGAAAAGATTCGTAAAACACAAAATATATCCACACACACACACACACACACACATACACACACACACAGCAACACAACCAAGGAAGGCACTACCAGCAGTTATGCCCACCCCTGGGAGGGAATTCTACACTTACTTCCCAGAGGCTCAGACCTCGGCCTAGGTCCTGGGTCTAACTGTGCTTTAACGTCTGCATTTTTCCCATAATTTTCTTATTTCATAAACACGTTTTATTTCTCTCTTTATATATAGCTATATGCTTCTATGTATATATATATATATAGATAGATATGTACACGACTTTCTTCCAAAAAAATAAACTAGCTATCCCTGTGCGGGGAAGCCCTCAGCAGCACTGGCAGCGGGGGTGCGGAGCCATGCCTTCTTGGGTTAGACATGCAGAACAAGGGTGAAGGCCAGCAGCTCCCGGCCACACACAGCAGCGGGGACACAGAGGGGCGTCCTTCAGGGAGGGAAGTGCTAAGGCTGAGAAAGAGATGGCAGGTAAGCAGGGGGCTGTGGCTTGTATCATCCTTTAGAGTTGCTAGCTTGGGTTGCTTTTGTAGCTCTGAAGACAGCACAGTTTGGGTGATGAGGGATCAGCATTCCTCTGGGATCAGGAGGAGCAGAGGGGACTCAGCCTGGGAGAGGGAGGGAACTTCTAAAGCTACATGAAGAAGCTTGGGCTCCAGGTCCCCAGGGTGGCCCTGGGAAGGTAAAGGACAGCAAAGCAATGGTCTCTGGAGGCTGGATTGGAACACCGGCCCTGCTTTGAAAATGACAAGTCCTTCTCTGTCCAAAATGGAGTGTCTTTGCAGTCCTGGCTACTTGCTGGAATTGTCTGGCTAATTTAAGTTCGAATTTTATGTCCAGAGTCAAGAGTCGGGTCCTTCCTGTGCATGGGTGTCTGATAATACTTCTGGGAAGTCCTAGCCCGGGAACCTAGATGGGAAGAAGTGGAGTGAGGGCTCCCAGAGAGCCACTGGCCGCTTCCTGGCAGGAATAAGCCAGTAGCAGAACTTCAAGCACCCAAACCCTGCTCTGTCTCTTCTTTCTCTGTGTAAACAAAAAGGCACTGAGGTCAATGTGGAGGCCGGGGCGGGTAGGCCTCACTCAACAGAAAGGGCTCCAAGCTGGCCAAGTTGGAGGATCCTCTGTAATGAAGGCCACTCCTTGGGCAGCACCTGAAGATCCCAGCATCCCTGTGGGAGAAGAAAGGCAGTGCCGGAGGTCACGGGGAGACCAGGGCGGCGCACGCTTCCACTCTCTGAGGACAGCCTGGACAGGTTTCCCTGCGGTGCTGTTTTGGCTGCTTCTTAACTGCCTGACTTCTTGGTTCCACAGGAGACTTTTAATGGTGAATGGCTGATTTCCCTTTGGTGGGAACACATGAGGATGATGACTATAGAATTTAGATTTGTAACTTAAACACGAACTGCTATTGGCAATGATGTGACTCAGTACCACACATGCGCAGGTGAATGCCTTTGGATTTACATATGCACAGTCTCTTCCGGCGTCAGGGCCTGGGCCGGGGCCAGAGCAGCCTGTGGCTTCTCTGGAAATCTCTGAGCCAACCTCACCTTTGGTCCCCCCACCCGACCCCCCTGAGCATCCCAGACCAGTGACCGGACCCATTTCCCTGAAGTGTGACTCGTTGGCACTACAGGGAAGGGGACAGCTCTTTTACAAGCCTCATCCTACTTTTAGAGGCTCAGCTCAGATATTACTAAAGAGATATGCTACAATGTCTGACTCATAAATAAAGGTACTGGTGGTGGCAAATAAAGAGAAACTGAAGAATCGAAGCCAGAGGAAGAACACAGAGTTCCGAACCCTTTTTTCCTTTCCTTTTGTCTTTCACCGACTGGTGTGCTAAGATTCCAGTTTGGTGACCAGAGAGGCCACTATTTGGTTTGTCGAAGGCTTGCAGATGGAGAGGAGATGATGGACACTGTGTATTTCACACACGTACTGATCACTGGCAGAGGGGCATTGAGGGGTGGGTGAGGATCAGCCCCTACACAAACGCTTGTCCACGGAAGCAACTTCGTGCCACATCTGGAACTGCTGGGCAGGCACAAATGTACCCACCAGAGGTGTCCTGAGAAAAGTGTCTGTTGCAAAATAATAATTAATAATAAAAATAAATCTGGGAGGGGGGGTACAGGGAGGAGAGGAAGCAAGACTGGTTACCCAGGTTTGCCCTGGGATTCTCTTAAGGCCTCCTCCAGTTTCTGTCTGAACTTGTCATACTTCTTCTGTACTTGCTGGATTTTGTCCTGCTCCTCCTTTTCCAAGATTGTTAGGAAGTTCTGGAGCTCAGGGATGGAGAAGGCATCCCACTGTGAGGGGCGAGGGAGATTGAGGAGGAAAGACAGGAAGAAATGGGTTAGAGCCCTGCCGCCATCTTCACGCAGCTCACATGAGTGGTTCATACATGCTCTGCCACTGCCTAGCGCCTGCCAAGGATGGAGCTTGGGTGGACCAAGTCTCAGGATGCTGATGTTGGGGCCTGGTCACCTCTCACCAGCTATTTGACTTTGAACACTTAAACTACCCTCTGGGCCTACTTCCTCCGGTGGGCTGAGGGGGCCTCTGTCTGTGCTGGCAGAGCAGGTGGCAGGGCACTCTATGGTGGGCCTCCGTTCTGGCTTGTACAGAGGGACCAGGCTCCTCAGGGCAGAAAACAAGTCTGACTTCTCTCAGCCTGACCCAGGAGCAAAGGTCCCAATGGGGCCAGCGAATGAGACTCCTGAGCACCCTACCTAGATGAGAGACTTGGGGTCCGCAGGGGAAGGTGGCCAACCCTAAGTTAAGGAGCTGGTGGCAGCAGAATGCAAACTAGGACTAAACTCAGGTCTCTGAACTCCTAGGCCCATGATCTTCCTATAGGACCAGCAGTGTTCACACCCATCCAGTAGAATCCATTTTCCAAACAAGCTCTTCCATAGCTTGAAGAGACTGGGCTGATGGGAGCCGCGCTGCCCTAGCACAGGTGGGGACAGAGCCCTGCCGGCCCTACGTCTCCTCTAAATCTCCACCACCAAGCAGCAAGGCCCCCCCATTAAACCGAGACCCCCAGCCTCCTCCATCTGTCGCTCCTCAAAGGCTTCACCCTCCAAGGCTCTAGGGGGCACCAATCTGGTTTCACCCCATTTGTGCCATAAGACCAGATATTAGTTAGCTTCACTGGAGGAAGGAAATTGGTGTTCTAAGAACAGGAAAGACAAATATCATTACCTAGTGAAACTCAGAGGTGGAGCTTGCTAAGCAAAAAGAGCTTGCGCCTGAACACAGGGAGTTTCTGGTCCCCTCTACCTTTGGTGTTCAGAGCCAGCACACAAACTCTTTTCTTCCCATAGGCTTTGCCAGGCACAGGCTGTGACTTGCTCCCCCTGGGGGCTGACAATCCTGGCTTATATGCCAAGCCTCTGGCCCAACACGCTGCCCAGCCCAGCTCTCCAGCAGTCCTTTTGCTGCTGCTGCCGCCGCTGCCTCATGGCTCCTGCCTACAGTGGGCAGTTCGGATGCCCACTTGTGCCCACCCAGTTACCCCTGAGGGCTGGTCTTGTGCAAAGTCTGCAGACCTACCTCAACCTCTCCAGTTTCATTTTCCTTTAGCACAAAACTGAGGACATCAGTGTCGGGCCCGGCAAGCAGGCGCAGGTAGAGGGGGCAGTCGGCAATGGAGAGCTTCTGGAAGAGTACTGCAAACCAAGAAAAGGGGCTGGGCACTCATCTCAGAAGAGAAGGAAGAGGAGGAGGAGGAGGCGTCGGTGACAGATGGGGCTGGAGCTGGGTGGGACAGGATTGGGAAGGCGGAGGTGGGGCTGGAAGTGGACCTACATGAACCAAGCAAGAGCAGATAGGGCAGGTGTGTCTGTAGCTAGATGGCAGAGCACTTGCCTAACACGCATGAGGCCTTCGGCTCCAGCCCTAGCCCCACAGAGGAAAAAAAGAAACTGGGAGAATCTTTTATCTTGGTGTTTCCATGTACATCATTTCCCAAAAGATAAGGAGTGGTGGGCAGATGCCACCCCTCCCCAGAAGAGGAAACAGGAGCTCAGGGTGAGGCTTTCCTGTGCAGGCAGAGTTAGGGGTACAACAGAGGGCGAGAGCTGCCCAGACTACGTCCCTGGCTCTTCTGTGGCTCTGAATGACCATGCGGACAGTTGGGTTCCTGGTGCACAGAAGCCCGCTCTTCCCACCCACCCAGGGCTGGCAGGGGTTTTAGTGGAGAGTCACGGAGGGTAATTTCTGGCTGGGAGGTCTCTCCTACCTTGACCATCCTTGTGGATCCGCTTAAAAAGTGCAAACTTCTGGGGATTGTCCACCACCATGAACTTCTTGAGCAGCCCCTGGATGACCTCGCTGACTGTCGTGGTGCTGCTGATATGCAGCTGCTTGATGGCATCCAGTGGCAGATAGAAGGATGTCCGTTTGTCCGTAGTGGCTGCCAAGTTCACTTCCTTGATGGCGTCGTAGATGGACTGGGGTCCGATGCCGGCAGGCACCGTCACTGGCCGTCGAAGTTTCAAATGCACTTTGATGAAACCTGTGTAGGTGCCATCTTCGCTCTGCAAGTGTGAGGCACTGGATGGGCTCAGACCCATCTTGCACAACTGTGTCTACCATTTCCCCAGGGGCACCCCAGCCACCCCCACCCCCATCTCCCTGAGGTCCTGTCTGCCAGCGTAGGATGCTGGAAGGAAAGGGACACCTTCCTCTCCCCATGGACCAGAGAAAGTCCAGAGTCCATCTCCCAGGGAGGTCTAGTGGGGCTGCCACTGTTTCCTTCAGGAAACCAGGCAGACACCAATCGCCTGTGGTGAATTCTCACTCTTACGGGAAAGGTCTGCAGTGGCCTATTATTTTTGCATCTCCAAAACAGGGAGGCTCAAGAAAACTCTAGAATAATGTCCAGAGACCCAGCCCAAAGAGTTTGCGGCGTTTAAGATAAATTTGGGCCTATTGGTGACAAGGTTTTCTGGCACAGGATTTTCTTCACCTTTGGGTGAAGCCCCAAAATGTCAGTTGCTGCCAGTCACCAGCAGAGGGCAGGCTTCTACTATCTGCTCCTCACTGAAGATGGCCTTTCTGAACCTGCGCAGGTCTGCAGCCCACGCCCATACGTGCACCCAGCAATCTAATGGGAAGGAAGAGGCCTTTGTGGCAACATGGGGTCCTTGGTCATTGTTTGTCATTTACTCCCACCAAGATCTCTGACATCTGGGCATAAATATTCCTATTTTCACATTACAGTGCCAGAGAGGTGAAGAGTTTCCCAAAGTCAAAAGGGAAAACATGAATGGAATAGAGATGGGATCTGGATCTTATTCTAAAGCCCATTCTATTTGCCTCATGCCCACCAGGCTGGGGAACCTTCCATGACCCATGAGGTCTCCAGAAGCCCTGAGAAGTGGGAAGGCACTGTAAGGGTGTAGCCTGGGAATGCAGAGGATCACGCTGCCAGGAAGGGGCAGAGTGGGCAGAGGGGGCGGCAGCTGCTCACCAGCTTCATGCCCAGGCAGTTCTTCTCCCGGCTATTGTAGCTGTCAATCTTCTGCTTGATCTCCTGCAGCGTGGGCGGGCGCTGAGTCTCCTCCACCGGCGGGCAGACATTCTGCACAGACACAGAAGGGGGTGGGGTGGTGGTGGAGGTGAATGGTGGTTCTCAGGATTCGACGGGAATGGCCACACCTCCCAAAGACCTCTCTCACCAAGGAAGGAGCAAACTGCAAGAGTGGGAACAATGAGGCCAGCTGCCCGGGGAAAGCCCAGGTACTGGCCACAAAGCCTGGTGAATGGGGAGAACCACATTTGCTCACAGAGGATAGTTAATTACCTACCGCTCACAAGTGCTCATTACCCCCTCTGTACAAATGAGGCCAAATATACCCAGTTCCCCAGTCAGGAAGGCAGGTTTCCAGATGCTGTGGAAGTTACAAAGAAAGACAAGCTGTGGTCTGTCTGCTTGAGGAAGCCACAGTCAAGCTCAACATACAAGTGGGTATACTTAGTGCCAGCAAAAGCCGATAGAGATGATGACAGGAAGTGGAGGTGTGGCTCACGTGACAGCCTTGAGTGAAAATGCCAAGGGAGAGTGTGAGGCTCTGAGTTCAAGCTCCAGTACCTGCACACAAAAAGGAAGGAAAAGGAGAGAGGAGGGGTGGGGGGAGGGAGGAGTCGGGGAAGGGCAGGGGAGGGAAGGAAAGGAAGAATGCTCCCAGACCCAGGGAACAAAGACATACAGGCACCAGTTAAGGCCCCATACCACTGGCACATGTACGTGCATGCAACAAGTGTACGTGTGAACTGGTAGAGAAGGTGACAGTTGAGAGTAACGTTCTCTACTGGGGCAGGGACAACCAGCCAATACTGAGCGCCTCCTCTGTGTCAAGTACTCGGCACACGGGATCTCATTTAGACTTTGAAGGATAATCCAATAACCCCCATTTACAGGTGCTCATTACCAAGACAGAGCTTGCCTAATTCCCCTGTCAAGATGTGCAGAACTGAGCAGAAACCCAGGTCTATCCAGTTGGACTCTTCCGATGACATCGTGATTCCTTCTCCCCCTCCATTCTCCAGCTCTCCTTTCCCTAGCCTTAGAGGACAAGTTGAAGTTGGAGGTCAGTGTTGGTCACACTAGAGAAAGCAACTTTGTCCCTCAGCTAACTCTGGATGTCGCTCAGCTTCATTGTCACTCTTTCCCCGCTTGGTCTTTCGGTGGCCCTGTGCGGCTGGGAGCCGCTTGCTCAAAACCCACCGAGCATTTACCCCCATCTCAGGAATCGGGCAGACTCAGGCACACGTGGAGTCTGCTTTGGCAAATGAGGAAACGGAGCCCCACAGAGGGAGGGCTCTCACACCACCTGACACCTGCCTTGAGGGCCCGTGGGCCTGGCTGGGGAATTTCCCAAGGGCCCTGACACTACATCACCACCCAAACACAACAGGACACCCGCCACAGAGCTCACCCCGGACCTTCCCCTTCAGCCAGCCTGTCGGTGGGACATGCGTCATTGTAGAATAGCACAACCACCGCTTCCTCCACCACTTTCCAGTCCCACAGAGGCCATAAAATGTCAGGCCCCCATGGCTGCCCAGAGGAGTGAGTGTATCCGGGGTCGGTCCATGCCTCTGGCCTCTCATCCCTCCACACAGAGGTGAGGTGACATTCTTGTTCTGTCACATCATCTTTCCCCGCTCTGTCTGCTCCCTCTGTCCTCTTCCTCTAGGGCTCCCGACAGGACCAGTCTGTGCCAGGCTTTCCCCTATTTCTTCCCTTACATTCTCCTTAGAGTAGACTTACCTTACAGGTCACAAAACTAAAGCTCAAAGAAGAGCAGATTCATCGCCGTGTTCCAATGCTAGTGCCCAGCCAAGCAGGGACTGGAATGGAGCCCACCCTCTCAGTTGGTCATGTGACCACCTCCTGCTGGAGGGGCTGGCCCACCCCTCCCATGACAGTGCCTGGAACTCCGAGCTGCAGAGCTGAGGTGCACAGCTACTAAACCAAGCCCTACAAGGCAGCTCCTCTGAGCAGAGGCCGAAGGTCGCAGGGAATCCTGTAAAAATGACATGGCGGGACCGCTAACCTCGGGAATGGGATGAGCTGTCAGGACACTCCACCATCTTCTTCCTGGGTGTCTATTTAGGTGTCTGTAGAAGACCACCCCAGGGAGCAGGCCTTCGACACGTGTCCTGTGTGTGTCAGGTGATTTCACCAAGTGTGTGAATCTCAGACTGTCTTCATTTGCTGTCAATGTGTGAATCCAGGGATCCTCAAAATGAAGACCTTCATTTGACTTCGTTCCTCTCCAACCCCTGACATCCCATCAGCCATGCGTACCTCCACGGACCAGACGTGCCTGCGTGGCTTATCCTGCCTTCCCTCTGGAAGCTTCCAGTCAGAACAACCAGCTGTCTGGTCACTGTTACGTACTACGTTCAGCCCATCTTCAAGGCTCACAGGCTGCCTCTGCTCAGGAGTTAAGGCGTAGCTCGTACTCATCTCCAAACAACAAAAACAAAAAGAGCTAGGTGGTAGAAGGAAAGCAGCAGGCACCTCTGGAAGTGCTCTCCGTTTCCAACCGAGCTACAGTCATTTCTGTTTAGACAAGGCAGCTGTGTTGAGGCCCTTGTAGGCCACTCTTCCCTGGTTTGGAATCAGCCAGGAATAGAGCTGCCTCATTCTTGATTTTCTTTCTTCTTCCTGTTCCCCTTTTTGTCATCAGATAAACCCATCTGTTTTCTTCCTTCCCCAGAGCAAACCTGGGGAAGTGACGTAAGTTGCCACGGGCATGTCCGCCTTCTAGCCAGGCACAGAGGATAACAGCCCTGACCTCACCCTGTGGAAGTCTGGGATTGCCAGGAGCTCTGTGTGTGGCTGACAGGCACAATGAACCTCACGCTGGAATGTCAGCACCCAGTGTAGGATGGCTGCTGCCCACACTGAATCTGCCAGACAAGGTCTGCCCCACGGGCTGAATGAATCACCTCCTGAAGTAGGCCAACCAGCACGCCCCCACCAAGTGCTCACTCATCTTCTTCCTGCCCAAGAGCGGTACAGAACCCAGACCAGCAGTTCTTAAACTTGCCTGTACAATGGAGTCATCTGAGGATCTCTAGAAACACGGTCATCTGGGCTTTGTCCCCAGAGATGACCAATCTGGGATGCAGCCGGGGTAGAGGGATTAAAAAAAATTCTCCCAGGTGATTGCAACATTGCTTGCAGCATTTGAGAATTTGGAGAGACTCCCCAGGTTATTCTGTCTAGCTGGATGCCAATGGATGCACACTGCCTGGAAAGGTTACCTTAAAGGTAAACACTACCGTGTAAACAAGATCAATGCTGCGGTACTCTTCCAAGGGCCAAGGCAAAGACCCTGATTTCTATGCACCTGCCAGATTCTCCAGGCCCCTGAGTGAAGGATTCATCTCTCTGCCCATGGGTACTAAGCTAGAAACCAAGCAGCTAACATTTTGTCTCTTGGGGTTGTCCCAGATAGACAGAATGGGGAATTCTGTTATGGTTCAACAAATTCAGGCACAGGTGCATGAGGGGGTCTCTCCTGAGAGTTTACACATCTCGGTGCATCTAGCATGGAATTCATCCATCGGCTCCGATTAAGCTGCCAGCACTGGTAGCAGATGGCTGAGCTGTTCCCAATCCACCCATCTTGTTCAGGACACTGGTGAAAAATGGTTTTATCTCACATGTCATGAGCCATGGAAAAAGCTGTGTGTCCTCTCTTGGCTTTCTTGAAGTTACTGGAATACAGTCAAGTGAAAGGGTTGGGGGGTACTATGGTAAGAACAGAAATGGCCCTCTCCCCACCCCAAAGAGCAGTTCTTGAAGATTTCTAGTCAAATCATATTTTTATTATCTTTAGGTAGTTGTACAAAAGAGTTTCCATGTAACAAATCAGTTTATAAATACAGTGCTTTTTTGTTCTTTTGGTGCCAGTCCTGGGGCTTGCTCTCAGGACTTGGGTGCTGTCTTTTGAGAGTTGTTGTGCCAAGGCTAATTGCTCTACCACTTGAGTCACAGCTCCGCTTTTGGCTTTCTGGTGGTTCACTGAAGAGTCTCACAGACTTTCCTGCCTGAGCTGTCTTGAACCATGATCCTCAGATCGCAACCTCCTGAGTAGCTAGGATGACAGGTGTGAGCCACGAGGGGTCCAACATAATGCATCTTGATCAATGTCGTCACAGCCAAAGACTCAACAATAAATAAGGAGAGCCATTCCCGTGACGTCCAGGACCTGTCTCACAGCAGATTTGCCCTAAATCAAGTTTTTCCTTTTTGTTTTCTTTAAGGCAACAGCAACCAGACACTGGCTGATTCTGCATACTAATCAATGACATATTATGTCTTAATTTGAGCCTCTGGGGAGTGACCAAGTGCTCTGAGGATAGCTCAGAGAAAGTTCTGTGGCTTCTAATCCTTGGGTGGCAACACAGCAGCCCAAAGAGGCCCCAGAAAGAGAAGTGGGCAGAGGAGACTGTGGGCAGCACCCCCAGTGCTGGACCTGCCACACACATTCACACCCACTCAGTGCTGACCCAAATCGCATCAACCTCACTTGGCCAGTGTCTGCTTCTGGCCTGCTTCTTTCACCGTGTCACACCTTCTGCTCATCTGAAGTCCCGTCATTGGGTAAGGCCCCCTGACCTCTCCATGCGTCAGCAGAGAGGACACTGATGACCATGCAGGTAATGACAGTGATCTATCATCACCACGAATTCTGTGCCGTGCACTGTCCTACTCAGGCTGCATTCCTTCATCTGACCTTCACAGCAAATGTATACAGAATGTCACTACTATTGTGTCCATTTTACAGTCTAGGAAACTGAGGCACAGTAAGATCAGAGTCAGCCACTACTGTCCCACCCAGTCCTTAAGTATGTATCTACTTACATTAACCTCACAAGCAGACCATCAGGGATGGTTTTTCTTCCCAGCTATCCTGACCTACATTGTGCCTTTTCTATTTCTTCTATTCCCCATGTACTACATACACTCAGCATGAAGTAGACAATAACCAGCTGTTCAAGAACCTTCAACAAAGCTGGGTGCTAGTAACTTATGCCTGTAAGCCTACTACTCAGGAGCCT